AATTTAAAAGTGGAACAATGACTGCATTTATTGTGCCAATTAAATAAAAACATAACAAGGTGAATTACATTTTATTTACTCCAGTGTGTTTATAGAGTTTTAAAGTTTCCTTTTTCTGTCTAGGACAGGCCTACATGTTGTATGGTCTTTGCTACAATAAAATCTGTTAATTATGTCATTCCCCAAGCTATTGGCCATTTCTGTTGTTTTGGTCAAAACAGTGGCTTGACTCTGCTGTCAGCAAGAATAGCATGGTTTTTGGTCTCTCAGGAAAAAAAATGGCCACACAGAGAAATTATGTCCCAATTGGGATAATTATCCAACTCAAGATCGCTAATGACCTCTGGCTGTTAAGACTGTTGCACCATCTCTTTATTCTCCAGTCAGGGAATTTGAATCTCTTGCGAATAATGCACTGATAAAAACAAAAAGTGTTTATTTGAATGTCCATCTATCATTAAGAAATGTAAATTTATTATTTTATTTTAGCTGATATGATGCAAGATTGTGTTGAAACTGCAACAACTTAAAGTCAGCACCTTGAGTCTAAGGATTGTTTAAGATGGGATTTTAAATGAATATATAATGACTTTTATTAAATAAAATGAACACAGGGCACGTTATAAACAAATCATGGTAAGTATTTTGGAAACATATAGTCCTGGGTGCTGCTAAGAATGGTCTACTTACAAAGTTCCACAGCTCACAAAGCACTTTAATTGCCCAAGTAAGCAATGTGTCTGATTTGACCAGATCTACAAAGAATGATAGGGAACCAACAGTGCCACAATGCATTGATTCTATACCCTAAAATAGGAAACTGGATTGCTCATGGTCTACTGACAATTTGCTACAGTATTTGCTTAAATTGTATTGAACAAATATAAAACCATCTGATTTAAATGAAATACATTTTCTGTTTTTATATCTTTAGGGATTTACATTCTTGAAACAAACATCCTGTATTAGGCATGTTGATGATTTTGTAGGATTTCTTTCATTTTTTAAATGACCAATTGATTCAACAATACATGTAACTCTAATACTGTAAGTGTTATATTTATAGTGTATAACATAAGTATTGAACACATCAGGGTACACATTTTTCCTGGTAAATATGTTTCTAAAGGTGCTGTTGACAGGAAATTGTACTAGATTTAATTAAAAACCCAAACAACACAAGCATACAAATAAACTACAACTTTTGTTACCAAAAACATTTTGTGTGAAATCAATGGAATGACACAAGGGGAAAGTACTGGACTACTGAAATCTGCTTAATACTTTGTATAAAAGGCTTTCTCGTAATGACAGCTTCAATACTTTTCTCTTATGGGTATTTTTCCCACATTTCAACAATTTCTATAACTATTCTTTGAGTCTCATCTAGGAAAAAAATATCATTATTTATGTTCTTTTTTCTATTGAATTTAAAACGAGTGCTTGTATGAGCCATTCTAGCAGCTTTATTTTCTTTTTATGAAACCAGATAAGAGTTTTCTTTACTGTAATTAGGATCAATGTCTTGCTGAAATGCCCACCCTGGTATCATCTTCCTTCCTTCTTTCCTTCCTTCCTTCCTTCCTTCCTTCTTTCCATCCATCATTCTGGCAATGTAGATTAAGCAGTTAATATTCATTTACACTGATAAGGGGCAGAGTTGCTTTTCAACTACTGAGAGATTTCAGTTGCTGTCTGGGCTTTCCATGCCTTTTTACACCTCACTTTCTTCATGTGTTCAGTACTTTTCCATGTGTCATTTTACTCCTTGGAGTACTTTTGGTTGTTACTGACTGATCTAGTGAAAATTTTAAGTCAACTGCAATTATTTAGAAACATATACCCACTGTATGTATATACAGTTGAAGTCAGAGTTATTAGCCCCCATTTAAATTTTTTCTTCTTTTTTATATATTTCACAAATAATGTTTAACGGAGCAAGGAAATTTTCATAGTATGTCTGATAATATTTTTTCTTCTGGAAAGAGTCATATTTGTTTTATTTCGGCTAGAATAAAAGCAGTGTTTAATTTCTTTAAAAACATTTTTGGGACAAAATTATTAGCCCCTTTAAGCAAATTTTTTTCGATAGTGTACAGAACAAACCATCATTATACAATAACTTGCCTAATTACCATAACCTGCCTAGTTCACTTTATTAACCTAGTTAAGCCTTTAAATGTCACTTTAAGCTGTATAGAAGTGTCTTAAAAAAATCTAGTAAAATATTATTTACTGTCATCATGGCAAAGATAAAATAAATCCGTTATTAGAAATAGGTTTTTAAAACTATTATGCTAAGAAATGTTCTGTAACAATCTCCCCTCCATTAAACAGAAATTGGGGAAAAAAATAAACAAGGGCGCTAATAATTCTGACTTTAACTTTGTGTGCGTGTGTGTGTGTGTGTGTGTATGTATATATATATATATATATATATATATATATATATTTAATGTATTTAATGTAGATATTAGAAAATAAAATACATACTCTGAAGTATTTAAAGATGTGACACTTTGTTTCTAAGCATTCATACCACTGCTCTAAGTGTATGTATGGAATATTTGCACATGCTAATGAAAATAATAAGAAGCGTGAGGGATTAATACATATATTTCAATACTTTTGCAAGTTTCTTGGGGGCAGACAAGTGTATGAGAGAAGGCCAGCATTTGGTAAGACAGCAAAAAGTCTTCTCTCATATAATTGAATGCAAAAGCACAGAAAACAAATTTTTACTACCTTTGCATATTTTTGTCCCTTTAGTTGGTCCTTAATATGGCAACACACAGGGGTGCTGCTAGGGGAGGTCGATTAGTTTAGATGATTCTAAGGGTCCACACATTTTTGGGGCCCCAGAGATATTATTAGGGACTCAAACAACCCTCCTCCCACTCTTCATTTTCTCAAGAGTGCACCCCCCATCCACCCCCCAAACACATTTTTTTTGTAAATGTCATGTTGGGGCAGTAAAACAATGACAGTGTGGGTCTAATAGCAGGTTAGAAAACTACCCATTAAATCAAAAGAAGTGGCCAGCATACAAAGAACAAGAAGTAACTAGAGCATAAACTATGGGACTAAAAAAACTAAAAGTCAATAAAACAGAGCTTAACTGGAGTACATTATTTTTTTAGTAGCTTACAGTCTTCCAGTATAGTGCCTGGAAACTGGGTAGAACCTGTGGAGTAGATAGAGTTTGTGGCAAAAACAGAAGCTGCCTGGGTGGAAGCTAGGAAAAGCAGAGGCAAAGGAGGTGAAGTAATCTAAATGCTGGAAAGAACTAATAAGAACCAAAGGACTTCTAGAAAGTATGGTGGAACCAGTGGTGACCAGGCATGAACAGTTTTGGAGGGACCACTGGAGGGAAAGGAACTTGAGCAATGGTCTCGAGACAAAGCATTTTGGGCATTGTGCGGGAACAGTGATGAAAGTAGGCTAGTAGGAGGGTACAATGGGGGAGGAAGTACTCTGGAACTCCCAAGAACCATAGAGAGTGCAAAAATCCAGACAGAACCACAAGTGACGAATGTACCACAGGTTTGGGGATATAGATGAAATTTTACTCCCAGACATATAGATCAGCCTATAGTTTCATTAGAATGAACATCACTGCAAAGTCAGGGTTTTTTGGGTGGCACCGATTCCAGGGTAGCTGTGGGCGAGAGAGAACTTAAGGTTTTAAGTTGGTCCACAAAGTCGGCATGAAATGGATCTTATTTTTCATTTTTTTACTATTAACTACATTTTACAGACAGAATTGTATAATATTTATTCAAACCACTGTCTCCTGCAAAGGTAGGGCAGAAATGAGACATGCACTGAAAACCCCGCTATTAAGGCATTTCATGTGACCAAAAGAGAAGAAATGTCATTTCAAGGGGGGAGAAAATGTTATGGTATTAGATTAAATATTCATTAGATCAATCAGTCATTCATTTTCTTTTCGGCTTATTCCTTTTATTAATCTGGGGTCGCCACTGCGGAATAAACCACCAACTTATCCAGCATATGTTTTATGCAGCATATGCCCTTCCAGCTGCAACCCATCACTGGGAAACATCCAAACACTTTCATTCACACACATACACTACGGACAATTAAGCTTACCCAATTCACCTGTACCACATGTCTTTGGAATTGTGGGGGAATCCAGAGCACCCGGAGAAAACCCATGCAAACACAGAGAGGACAAGCAAACTCCACACAGAAATGCCAACTGACCCTGCCAGGGCTTGAACCAGCAACCTTCTTACTGTGAGACAATTGTGCTACCCACTGCACCACCATGCTGCCCTGAATGAAATATTATATTGGAAATATTATATTGGAAAAACCTTGCAGTAAAATCAACATGCCAAAAATAACTAAACAAACTGAACAATATATTGGTAGATAGATACCAGAATACGATGTATAGCATAAAGAGTGATCAAATAAAAGTAAAAGATTTTAATCATACCATATTGTAAAAAGAAAATATACTAAGAAGGTAGAATTGGTTATAGCTATTGTAGACAATATATACTACATTACAAATCATTATAAGTATACATTATTGACCTCTGTGTATTTTTATACATTTTAAGTCATTTTTGAAACATCTAATGATCTGAGCAAAAAAAGAAAAAAGGCTGTTTTGCAAAGACACATTTTTTGTAGGAAAGACCAACCAATCTTAGAAAATATTCCCAAGGGTTAATTTCCTGAATCCTCATGGGCAAGTTGTATTGCGTCAAAAGTGTTATTTATACGCATGTCAGCAGTCATTGCATCTTACATTCATGACGGAGGTCATCCATTGTAAGATCTGAATACTGACAGGGGAATGATTGTGTGGTTTTTACTATAATTGTCTTTAAAAGTATTTCTCTGCTATGGATGGGTTTCTTAGATAGAACTGATGTTTCTAATTCTCGCATGTTGTGTCTAATTGAATGCTAAAAAGGAATCAATTTGCAATACATTATAAAAGAGTGTCATTACAGTTGTAAAAAATGGATAATCAGACTGTTTTTGCAAGCTACACCCTGATGGTACCAAGAGACTCGAAATCATTCAGACATATTTATTTCATATGCTTTTTGGTGCTTTATGTTTTAATAATTCTTGTTAACGCTTGGGTCAGTACTGTTATTGTCTTGGAACGAACCCTGCATCAACCAATGTACATTTTTCTGTGTAACCTGTGTGTAAATGACATATATGGTGCTGCAGGATTTTATCCTAAATTTCTACACGATTTAATGCTGGATTCATATGTGATTCCTTCTTATATGTGTGCAGTTCAGACATTTGTGATCTACAGTTCACTTCTGTGTGACTGTACTACAGTGACTGTGATGGCATACGACAGACTTGTGGCTATATGTCAACCTTTAAACTATCATAACAAGCTAAACAAATTCTCATGCAGTGTATTTCTTAGCTTCTGTTGGATTCTACCCTTTGGTTATGTGTTCATTTGTGTTGTGTTGTCAAATAGGAAGAAACTGTGTAAATATCACATTAAGAAATTGTACTGTGACAACTGGTCTATAGTGAAACTGTCGTGTGAATCGCACGATATGAATAGTATTTTAGGACTTTTTGTGATTGCATTTTATTCTTGCTTGTGCGTTTTCATTTTTTTCTCCTATGTGAAACTTATCATAGCATGTAAAGCATCGTTAGAGTGCAGAAGGAAATTTTGGCAGACATGTGTGCCTCATATGTTCACAGTGATAAATTATATGTTTTCTGCATTTTTTGATGCAATGTACGGCAGATATGGAGCAGGTGATATCTCAGATAGTTTTCAAAATTTTCTGGCTCTAGAGATGCTCATTGTGCCACCGCTTGTCAACCCAATAGTCTATGGGTTAAAACTCCAAGAAGTGCGCAAACAAATCTTTAAATCTTTTGTTCAAATAAAAAAATAAGTTGTGCATGTTATTCTTGCTGCACATGGAATATTAAAAATATTGACATATGAAATATTAAAGCAAAAAGTTTGTTTACCATTTTGCTGAAATAGTCATTTCTAAAATAATTTAAATACATTTAGATACAACATGTTCTTAATGAGCTGTGTTTGGGACATTGTGTAGTCCTTTTATTAAAGTATTGTGAATATTTTCAAACCACCTTGCATGGTGTTGTTTACAGTAAGAAATCAGAAAATGTTTCTTCATTGCATAATTATTTATGATGTTTCAGGCCTAGAAAGAAATCACTGTTAGGAAAAAAAGGCTTTCAAAAGCATGTCGGTTATCATTAGATCCTCTTTTAGGTTGTCTACAAGATGATTACTATGCAGTAACAGTAACAGACACACTAATAGTTCATCTGTACATTTAAATTGAAGGCAAAATAATTAGCTAATTATATAACAATTATATGTTTGATTCCATTTGTAATTTTACATTCTAAAACATAGACACAAAAAACCCATAGTACTGCGAACAGCCATTGATTGAAATTTCATCATACCTTTCTTATTTTACTCTTGTTCAATCACTTCTATTAATCATTATATTCCTTTAATAATATATCCATACAGCTTTTAAAATTGATTAGTAATCTGGCATTGTTTGAGAATCTGTTCCAGACTGTTCCACAATTTTACACCATAGACAGACATCCCAAAAATTTTTTTTTATGTTGTCCTTGTTCTTGACCTTCTAAAATTTAGTTCTTCTCTCGGATTATATCCCCTTTTCTTTCTTCAAAAAACTTTTGTATGCATTTTGGAACAATTTGTTTTCATGTTTTAAACATAAATTGCGCTGTTCTAAATTTAACCAAATCATTGAACTTAAGTATCTACAATTTTAGAAATAAAGGATTCGTATGCTTTAACTACTCCACATTTTCTATCAGTCTAATCACTTTTTTCTTCATTGTATGAGAATCATTAGTTAGATTTATATGCATTTCCCCAAATTACAAAACACAATAACTTTTATATGGCAACATAAGTGTATTATATAATACATACATTGATTTATTGTCCAGGAAAAATTTTGCTTTATCCACCATTTTACTAATTTTGATATCACATTATTTATTTGTGGTTTCCAATTAATTTTATGATCCAATACAACACCAATAAACTTAATATCACATACTCTTTCTATAACTTTGTTATCAGTTTTTAAATCTATGTCATGACTGTTTTAATTTCCCAAAAGCCATAATCTTTGTTTTACTTATACTTAATGATAATTTGTTTACATCAAAACACTATTCAACTGTATTATTTCTGTTTTAATCAACGCCATAAGTTTTGGTAAATCATTCATAGAATTACAGATACCTGTATCATCCACAAATAAAATAAACTTAAACAACTCTACCTTACACATATTAATAATGTAAATTCTAAAAAATATTGGACTTAAAATTGATCCTTGTGGTATGCCACAATTTACACTTAGATATGAAGATTTATGGTTGCCAGTTCCCATGAACTGTTGCCTATTTTTTTAATAACTGCTTATCTAATCCAAGGCTACTCCTTGAATACCATACCTTTCTAATTTATTTACCAATATATTATGATTTATTGTATCAACTGCCTTCTTTAAATCTATAAACATTCCAACTCCCTTCTCCTTTTTATCTTTCTGATTAGTAATTTCCTAAATAATTTCTGTTAATGCCAGAGATGTTGATCTGTTATTTCCAGAAACCATATTGCTCATCAGCTAAAAGGTTATGCATTTCCATACTGGCTACAGAACAAACCTCTGTTGTTCAATAAGTTAAACCTTTTAACAGCACTTTCAAATACTAGAATCTTAATGCTAAATAACCAGTAAAATATTATGTACTGTCATCATGACAAAGACAAAAGGAATTCTTATTAAAAATATTATGTTTAAAAATGTGTTGAAAAAATCTTCACTGCATTAAAAAGCATTTATAATATTTATAATTCAGCACTTAAAATATTTGAAAAATAATTAAAATAATTAATAAATTGTAACATATTTTTAAAGAACAAAATTTCATACTTGTATAGAAAACATATATTTTATAACACATAAGCCAACTTTCCTGAACTATTTCTAAAAATATAATTTTTCAAAAATAATGAAATCTTCAGCATTATACAACACTGACGCCCCATACTTTATACACTACATAAAGAATTAGACATGTTTTCTCAGTTCAGAAGAAATTTCCCGGTTATGAACGTAACCCACATTCCTCTTTATGGGAACTTCAACCTGTGTCTTGTACAGGGTAAGAAAACGAACCAATTAAATGCGAACTGAATTAGCAGTGCTCAGCTTCACAGGTGTCAGTGATTAGCCATTAACAGAGCATATCAGCTGGCAGCTGAGAAGCAAGCTGTAAGAACTCATTAAGCTGCATTTCTCCTCCTGACCAGAAGGAGGTGCTCCTGTCTCCTTGCACAACAGGATCCAATTGTCATGCTTCCTCCTGAACAGTGGATGGCACCACGTTCTCACCATCTGTTGTGTGCCACCACTCAAGCTTGATTTGCAACACCTGTGTCTTGCCCTATATAAGTGTGTGTGTGTTACAAGCTACTGTGTTCAGTTTTGAGCCAGTACCACCCGGTGTTCTCCAGATTGTCTAGAGAAGCTAAGTGACATTCTACTGTTGTGTTTTTTGACCCTTGTGTCTAATTTGTTTTGCCTGTTTACTAGAAGCTCGGCTTAAGTTATTTCTGTTGTACTTTTGTATTCTATTTTTCTAGTAAAGATAATCTGTTTATTTTTTCTGAAACCAAAGCCTTAAGTTCGCTTATTATTCTTCTGCTCTTAGGTTCATCTAGTGAGGAGTTAGCTCAACTGGGAAAAGCCCCAGCTTTGTGTCCAGGAGACCCGGGTTCAATCCTCACCTAAACCAACACCTTACACAAGCATTTAGAATTTCGCTTCAGAGCCTCTCGTGAGACTGAAGAATCCTGTCTGCCAACCTGATTTCTTTGAAAACAGTTTCACTCACCAGTGCGGGAGACGGCATGACAGTGGTGGTCGATCTGGGATTTCCTCTTGCCTGGGCGTTTTACTGGTTTATGTAATAGCGGGATATAATCTCACCCAAACGTATTAAAAACGACTAGGGACTTTAGATTATGACAGTAGATTGAAAAAGCATGCCATACCCGAAGGGGAAGGACGCTGTGAAGTCCACCTGCTACACAACTTGGAAGACCTGGTGAATATGGACATATTTTCTAGCCCTAACCAGGAGGAGCACTACATATGATAAGATGATTAGGAGAAGACTCTGGTCAGGCTGAGAAGAGGGAACTACACCATGGCTAAATGACACATATGAGATCACCAATTGGGGGTCACGCATAGCTGATACTGATCGCCAGAATGTGGGCCATGCACCCAGATCCTCCAGTGAGTCAGATGTTGGGGGCCTCAGAGGAACTCTCTATAGTTTGCCAGATGGGGAACCCGCTAAGCAAAGTGGAAATAAGCATATGCATCTTTGGGTTATGGAGAATGGCGCAGCAAGTGTGTTTTCTTGGTTAGGGCTGAATCGGCCTCCTCCGCAGGCAGTGATTGCAGGTTCACTACCTGGCCTATAAAGAGAATGGTAGGAACCTTGGGCACATAGCCGAGCTGGGGTCTCAGGATACCATGAGAGTAGGTTGGCACGAATTACAGACACGATTCACTGCCCGAAAATGGCTCCAGATCCCTGACCCTCTTAATTGATGCCAATGCAACCAGTTGCCTTCATGGACAGAAAAATGCATATTGGGCAAGCCCTAAGCCAGCTGTAAGCCAGTGTGCCAAGGGGGGCCTTAGTCAGTGACTAAACCAACTGGCAATTGGTGGTTTTGGGAGAAGCAAACAGGATGACCAGAGTCTCTACAAAGCACTCCTATATCAGCAGGAGCACAGTGGGGTGAAGTCTTCATTTTACCAGGAGCGTCAGCTACTGTGAGAGCATATCGGCTGCACGTTGGAGCTCACCTGGGATATGAATGGCATGCAGCGATTTTAGCCATGTATGACTCCAGAGGAGCAGATGGTGAGTGAGTTGAAACATGAGGTGGGACCGTATACCTCTGACATAGAGGCTGAATGTGCAAGTATTGTCATATTGCCAGTGCTTGGCTTGGAGCTGTCGAAGTGGAAGGGACAGGGGCAGGAGCAGTTTTCCAAGCCCATTGATAGATGACCTTCTCCAATGTACTTGACTGCTCCACCGCCTAGATCTCCTGGGTAAAGTCCCAAATGATGTCGCCAAACATGCCAGCCTGGGATATACAGTAGGAGCATCAAGAAAGTGACTTTGTGTGACATCGAAGTTGTTGATGTCATGCATATCTGCCAGGTTTAGCCAGAGGTGGCATTCCTGGACCATGAAAGAGGCCATTGTCCTCCCAAGGGCACGAGCGACTTGGTCATTAAAGCATGGCCATGGCATGCAGGGTGGAAGTGTCCTAGCTCACAGCTGTATAGGCTCTGCTTTGCACTGTGGAGAGCAAATCAAAGGGCACACCAACGCGGCAATGGACATCTGGTCCTCAGTGTTGCCAAACGAGAGCATAGCCATCTCAGGGGATGAACCACCACACCTGCTCGAAGCTTGAATGAAGCATGCTGGGAAGGAGTGGGGGGGTCCTCGAGCCGGGAGGTAACAGACAACTGGGGTGGCTCGCTGTCTTGCAAGAGCAAGCCATGATCTCAGCTGCGACGGGCACAAGCTGTCCACAAGCACTCCATCCACATCCACATGCTAAACCCTTACATTCTTTTTGTATGTGGTATTAGGTGGCCCACAAATTCAATTTGTTAAGTTATATTCGTCTTTTCTGGGAGTGTCAGTGGTGTTTTGGGCTCCCATGTGCTGAAATGACTGACAAACAGGAATCATAAATTTAGTCTGGAAAAGCTAGAATAAAATCTGTTACAAAAACGAAATTATACTGTTTTATGAGGTTATAACATTATTATAATGATTGTAAGTCTAAAGATTTAATTATGCAAAACCTATTGTGGCCTTTCAGGGTAACTTTTTAGAGTCTTAATTTGTCTTTAGAAAAATGTACATACCAAGACATACAGTTTAAGTCAAAATTTTTAGCCCCCCTGAATTATTAGACTACTTGTTTATTTTTTTCCCCAATTTCTGTTCAACAAAGAGAAGATTTTTTTCAGCACATTTCTAAACATAATACTTTTAATAACTCATCACTAATAACTGATTTATTTTATCTTTGTCATGATGACAGCAAATAATATTTGACTAGATATTTTTCAAGACACTTCTATACAGTTTAAACTGACATTTAAAGGCTTAACTAGGCAGGTTAGGGTAATTATGCAAGTCATTCTATAACTATGGTTTGTTCTATAGACTATTGAGAATAAATATAGCTTAAAGGGACTAATAATTTTGTCCTTAAAATGGTGTTTAAAAAATTAGAAACTACTTTTATTCTAGCCAAAATAAAACAAGTAAGACTTTCTTCAGAAGAAAAATATTATCAGAAATGCTGTGAAAATTTCCTTGCTCTGTTATTCATCCTTTGGAAAATATATAAAAAAGACGAAAAAATCAAAGGAGGCTAATAATTCTGACTTCAACTATATATATATATATATATATATATATATATATATATATATATATTTATTTTTATTTATTTATTTTTTTTATTTATTTTTTATTTTTTTCAATATTTTTTTTACATTTGTTTAAAACGTTAAACAATTATTTAGGCTATATTTAGCTAATACAATTTTATTCTGAAAAAATGTTTTATGTGTTAAATGCCTTTGATTTGATTCCCTGAGGTGTATATGCTTGAGTTTGCTGTGGGGATAAGTGGTATTTATAAGCAGGCCAGTTGTCATGAAAGCTTCTTTATGGTTGTGAACATGCAGGATGAAGACTGGTGTGGTAAAACTTGACTAGAACTATTAGCAGTTTGTGTTATAATTTTAAGCATGTCTTTTATCACTAGTTGCTTATGATTTTTAACATTTGGTGATTATGAATATTAATTAATTGTAAACAAGGACAAATTTACATTTAGCGGTAGCATATGTGATCATGGGTAATATTACCTATTTTGATTCTTACACCCTGATGGAACTGCAATCCTCTAAATCATATAGACATATATATTTTGCATGCTTTTTCCTCCTTTTTTGTCTAATTTGTCTTTTGAACAGCTGCCTTTGTGTGGTCATTGTGATGGAGAGAGCCCTGCATCAACCAATGTTCATTTTCCTGTGCAATCTATGTATAAATGGAATTTATGGAGCCACTGGATTTTATCCTAAATTGCTGCATGATTTACAACTGGACTCATATGTTATTCCTTCTTACATGTGTGCTTTACAATCTTTTGTCATTTACAGTTCAATTAAATGTGAATATTCTATACTAGCAGCGATGGCATATGACAGGCATGTGGCCATATGTCAACCTTTAGACTATCATACAAAGATGAACCCTGTTACTTGTGTCATCTTACTTTTCTTTTGTTGGACTGTGCCATTTATTACTACACTTATATCTCTGCTCCTGTCAAATAAGCTGGTGATATGTAAAAACCACATTGATAAACTGTATTGTGACAACTGGTCAATGGTAAAACTCTCGTGTGAATCAACAGACACCAATAACATTTATGGATTAATAAGTATCTCATTTCACTTTGGTATTTTTATTGTAATTATTTTCTCATATGTGAAACTTGTCACTGCATGTAAATCATCATTAGAGTGCAGAAAGAAATTTTGGCAGACATGTATGCCTCATGTCGTTTCACTGGTCAATTTTAGTGTTGCAGTTCTTTTTGACACTATGTACAGCAGATACGGCTCAAGTGATTTCCCAGATGACCTGCGGAACTTTTTGGCTTTAGAAATAATTATTGTGCCTCCTCTTATAAATCCTGTAATCTATGGCTTGAATCTAAAAGAAATCCGTAACAGGGTCTTGAAATTATGTACAAATATTTTGAAAAAATCATGATAAACTTGTGTTGTATTTGTTTTGCTGTGCTGCATTTTGTATCTTTTATTGTATAATACTGAAATCACACTGTCAATAACTAAAATGTAAACAAAAAGACATTTATAAACTTTTATGCTAAAAAAACACAATACACTAAGCTGGTCATAGTTACAATATCTATTACTTTGGAATATGCACTGTTCAGTTTATTTTAAAGTTTTCTTTGACAAGCATCATCAGTCACTTGATAATTATAAAAAAAGAAAAAAAAATATGTCGTTTATACATGAATGAGCAAACACAGTTGCGTTTTTTATCCATCCTGTCCTGTAAAGATGACATTATTTCAGGTATTGTATTAAATTGTTTTATTGAAGTAAGTGATGAATACCTCTGGCTCTAAAAGAAGTCTGTGCCTTTTTCATTCATTTTTAGAGAATGATCAGACTTTTAGTAACAAATATAAGAATATGAGGATTTTTACATTTAAAAACAGACACTTTGCATCTATACTTAGAAAGTACCTTTATCAGTTAAAATTTTAAGCTGTAACGGTATGATTTGTCATCCCAGAGTTATTCTTAACGTTTTCACTGGGCTCTAGACATCCTAATATTAATGTTAGGAATATGCAGTACCCTGTATAAATTAAATTTATTTTATATAATAATTTAAAGGCACAGTATGTACAAATTTTGCATTAAAGTATCCAAAAACCACTATAACTGTGTTAAATATTTTGCTGACTTACTGTATGTACTTATATTATTCCAAATGTTTGAAGAATGTTCAAACCCAGTCAGTTAAGCAATTTTAACAAGTGGCCATGCCAATGACATCACACGCTCTTAATTTGTAATTTAGTTTTATGAAAAACACTTTAACAAATTTTATTAAACTGCACAGTGAAATATAAAAACATGCATGATAAAACAGTGCTGCTTTTCCTACACATGATCACAACCAGAAGAACTGGTCTAATGTGATAAAACAAAAGCTCTTTTTCTTTGCCTTGTCACACTTGTCTCTCATCAGCAAGTGCTTCAGCATTTCACTTTGACCGCTTTCAGCTTTACTCTGTTTCATAATACCATTAAGTATACTATCCATTTCCAAACTAGCCATTTCTAATGGATTCTAAAACCATGGTGGATGCTCTTAAACACACTCAATCCATCCTACATTGCACTGCACTAATCAGTGTACAACATATGTGTACTCAAACAGCTAGTACATAACCATAATGCAGAGTTAGCACACTAAATTATTTTTTGCTTCTTACTGCAAGATGTCATCTACAGGGATATCCTATCAGTGTAAGTTTCAAAATAAAATATTATTTAATTAATGTTTGCATACATTACAGAGACAGATCACTCATGCTAAATAACCATCACAGGGTCTGCCCAAATTTATTTATTTTTTATTAACCTTTTTTTATTATTTATTAAATTTATTAATTATTAAAATCACATCAGTACACCGTAATGCTCAAATTCACTCACTCATTTTTTATTATTGGACTAATGTAATATATCACTGTATTAGTGGACTAATGTAGGGAATGGTGAATGAGAATATCAGAATCAAAATTGGTTTTATTGCCAAGTGTGCTTACACACAAGGAATTAGTTGTGGCTACTTCCAGTGTACATAAAGTTACTAGTGACAACACAAAAATAAATATGAAACAAGACAACAAACATTAAACAGAGATGCCATTAGACAAAAAGCTCTGGTGCTCTAAGTCCAAAGACATGTGGTATATATGAATTAAATGAGCTAAAATTGTCCATGTTTGAATGTTTCCCAGAGATGGGTTGCAGCTGAAAGGGCATCCGCTGCGTAAAACATGTGCTGGATAAGTTGGTGGTTCATTCCATTACCAGATGGTGATTGAAGTGCAGAGGATGGATTGGATGACAGCTGAGTAGAACTGTACAAGCAGCTCCTGTGGCAGGTTGAACTTCCTCATCTGAGAAAGGAAGTACAGTCTCTGCTGGGCTTTCTTCCCAACAGATGTCCCACTTCAGATACTGAGAGATGGTGGTGCCCAGATACTTGAATGACTTTATTGCAGCCACAGTCTCTCTTAAAGTTCACTATCATCTCCACCACTTTGAGCGTGTTCAGCTCCAGGTTGTTGTATGAGCATCACAAAGCCAGCCCCTTCCCCCCTACTGCCTGTATGCAGACTTGTCGCCGTTCCGGATGAGGCCAAGTAAAGTAGTGTCATCTGCAAATTCAGGATCTTGATAGAGGGGTCTTTTGCAGTGCAGTCGTTGGAGTACATGGAGAAGAGCAGTGGGGAGAGAACACATTATGGCATTGATGGCAGAACCGAAGCCTACGAACAGAATCTTTGCATAGGTCACTGGTTTGTCTAGATGTTTTGGGTATAAATGTAGGTTGCTCTATAGGCAAACTGAAGTGGGTCCAGCAATTGTCCAGTGATGTCCTTCAGATATGCTAGCATCAGTCTTTCAAATAACTTCATTGCCGAATATGTTAAGGCAACAGGTCTGTAGTCATCGAGTCCTGTAATCTTTGTTTTTTTCAGAATTAGGTTGATGGTAGAACGTTTATAGGAGTGATGTTGGATACAGCAAGCCTTTGTTTGTTGTGAATGTGTGCTTTAATGACGTAAATTACATACTGCAGCTTCTTAAAACTCATCAGAATTTACACTGATGAGTTTAACCTGTGCGCCAAACCTGTCTCAATTTCCACGGTTAAGATATAGTATGGAAGGAAGAGTGATAACCGAAGATTTGTTGGTTGTAGTTGACCATCATGCACTAATATCATCCGTTTGTTTTCTTTACTTTTTTTAAAAGTGTTTATTTTTAAGTGTTTAAAAGTTCACCGGTTTCCTTTATCTTTCTTTCCTTGAATGAATGAGTTAAACTGTATTACATATGTGCCGAAGCCTAGGAGGAAGGTGGAACAGACTGTCTGAGAGCCCTTGCCACTGGGTGAGGTTTTCAGTGCCATTGAGCCAGAGGAGCAGAATCTTCTGTCCTATACAATTGAGGTCAGCACAGGAGGTTTGCCGGGGGGATGGATACACTTGCTATCCAGATCTCTCTACTAACGGGGAGAGCACGTGAGTGGGACACTGCAGTCTGGGATGCCAGGATATCTTTCTGCCATTTTTTGATGACTTCAAGGAAGAAATGATTAAGCTCTTTGACCGGTCTGAACAGGGAGATGAGGTGACTGCCCGGTTGGCACGACTGTCCAAGGAGGCTCGCTTTCTCACTAATTATTCCATTCAGTTCAAGACATTAGCTGCCTCCTGTGACTGGACTGAAGGGGCCATCATTTCCAGATTTTTTGAGAGTCTGAATGAGATCCAAGATGAGATTGCTTCTCACGAGCTTCCCTATAACCTGGAGATTATTGTTGATCTGGCTCACTGCTCTTCTGATGAGTAAACCGGGGAACCTGGTGGCCGCCGTTCCCTGTCTGAACTCCCCTCTGTTTGCACCGTGTTGCCCATCACCATTCAACATAAAGGATCCTTCAACTCCAGCTCTACCTTGAACGATTCAGGGACTGAGGGCAATTTCCTGGACTGTGCCACTACCAAGCAGTGGGATATTTTTGCCATTCCCCTCCCTTTTCCTATTTCTGTCTAGTCGTTAGCTGGTTAGCTCATCTCTACCATTACCCACATCGCAATCGCAGTAAGACCATTGAACTGTACCTTTTTGATTCACTAGGTTCCCCTGTTGTCTTGGGGCATCCCTGGCTGGTATAGCACAATCCTCACATTGATTGGTCCCAATACTGTATTGGCCTGGAGTCAGTCTTGTCTTGCATCTTGTTTGAGTTCTGCCTTGTCTCCTGGTTTTTTGTGTTCTGAGTTGCAGGATAAGATAGTCGATTTAACTAAGGTCCTAGAGTAACATGGTCTTCACTAGGTCTTTAGCATGTCTCGGGCTGGATCTTTTCCTCCTCATTCTAGGCACATCTCTCCCCAAGAGTCATTTGTATTCCCTTTCTGGTCCAGAAAGTGAGGGTATGGACAGGTATATTCAGGAATCACTTATTACTGGTCTCATCTGCCCCTCACCAACCCTTTCGTCTGACCAATGCCCCAGCTGTCTTCCAGGCCCTGGTTAACGGTGTACTGAGAGACATGGTAAATGAATTCAACTTCAAGTTCAAAAGCTCTTTCTATTCCAGACCCTGAACAAGAATTCGTTGTTGAGGTAAATGCCTCTGATATTGGGGTAGGCATAGTCCTATTTCAGCGGTCCTCCAAAGATGGAAAGGTGCATTCTTGTGCCATTTTCTCTTTTCGCCTGAGCACAACATATTGTAATTACAACATTGGTAATAGGGAGCTGTTGATAGTTAGACTTTGGGTGAGTGGCATCACTGGCTGGAGGTAACCTTTGACTTTGTTTCTGGTCTTCCCCCTCAAGAGCAAAGCTGTCATCATGACTGTAGTGGACTGTTTTTCTAAAGCAGCCCATTTTATTGCATTGCCCAAGCTTCCCTCAGCCAAAGAAATAGCTCAAGCTATAGTTGTCATGTCTTCCGGATTCATGGCATTCCGGTTGATGTAGCTGGTTTTGGAAAAAGTTCTGTTGGCAGGTCGGGCTGAGGAGGTCTCGGCTCGGACTTCTTGATGGACCAAAGCAGCAGCCGACCGTCTTCAGAGTGGTCAGAAGATATGGTTATTGAGCAAAGCCCTGCCTCTCAGGGTAGCCTTATGTAAATTGGCTCCCAGGTTCATTGGCCTATACCTTGTGACCAAGGTCTTGAGTCCAGTGGCAGTTCGGCTAAAATTACATCCCACTCTTGGTCAGGTACACCCTGTTTTACATGTACAGGTATCCAGTATTCAACCTGTGTTAAGATTATTTCTTACCCCTGTTTTCTTTACCCCTGCACCATCCACCCCACCCCCTTTGGATTTCTATTTTTTTTTGTTAGATTGTCCTTGCTGCAAACCAGACAAGGCTTCCTAGCTTCCCTGCACTTCCTGCTCCAGTCTCTCTCTACCGCCCACCAGCAAACTCCCTCTTCAGTGACCTTGCACTTAACCTGGGTTCTCTCATCCAGGCCGGAGGCATCACAGTATTAACAACTTGCTGACTGATGGTTTGAATTGTCATGTGCCTCCTGCTGAAACCTTTTAGTATTGCTTTGACTTTCTTTTTTGCATAAACTCTGTTGACTGGCGTTTTGGATCACTATGCACCCTCTACAGGCCATCCTTGGTATTGTTTAGATTTCTTTATTTTTGCCAGGATTTTTGCACCCTTATGTGGGTTCCCAACCTCCCTTAGCTGGAGGTTATTGTTATAGCCCAGTCTGCAAGATTAATAAAACTTATCGAACTTTTATAAAACTTTTTGACTTTCACTTTAATCCTCTTGCTTTTCTTTCCATGACACTGTTAAGGAGTATGTCCCAAAGCCTGAATAATGTTGTTGCACACTCCAAATTATATATATATTTTTTTCACAGAATAAAGTACATTCTTTTAGGAATTAGTATGCAGCATTTATGTTTGTTTAGCTTTCAGTTTGGCAGCAGTTGTCTGTGACGAACTTCCACCATATGTTTAATTTCTTTATTAAGTGTTTAAACACTTACCAGTTTCACACTTCCTTATTTCCTTGAACTGTGAGTTTTGAATTGTAATACAAGGGCCTTATCCAACAAAAAGAGACTGAATTGATCAGGACTTCAGCTAGTAGCTCTGTTTTGCTTCAAATCTGGCTTGTTTACTATTTTAATTTCCTTCCTTTTATTATAACCTACATTGTGAGATGAAAACGATCCACCTTTTTCCTCCACTTTAAGTCATGCTCATCAATGCCCTTCAGCCATGACTTATTTGCAATAAAGCACAGCCTCTTGTAACGTATTGCTTACCTGGTTAAATATAAGAGCAGTCAGTAAAAGTTTTTTTTTTCCTTGAGTTGCAGACAGCAAAAAAAGAGATGTAAAACACAATTTTTAAAACTCATTCATTTTCCTTTGGCTTAGTCCCATTATTTATAAGGGGTCGCCACAGGGGAATGAACCACCAACTTATCCAGCAGATGTATTACATAGCAAATGCCCTTCCAGCTGCAACCCAGTACTGGAAAACATCCATACACACTCATCAACACACATACACTATGGCCAATTTAGTTTCACCTGTACAATTCACAATCACAATTCACCTGTATTGCATATTTTTGGACTGTGAAGGAAACCAGAACACCCAGACGAAACCCACGCGAACGCAGGGAGAACATGCAAACCACACACAGAAATGCCAACTGACCCAGCCAGGACTCAAACTAGCGACCTTCTTGCTGTGAGGCGACAGTGCTAACAACTTAGTTACAATGTCACCCCAATTTTTTCATTAATTTTTGTACTTTAATATATATATATTTTTTTTTTCTTTCTTTTTTTTTCTTTTCATATGTTGGTCTGTTTAAATAAATTTGTTTAAAATATAATTAATAAATTTGACCATATTAATGCAAATTAAGTGTTGTCGATGAGTGAATAATTAATCCCTGGGAATTTAAAATCTCTTTGAGATTTGTTTTACGCAAATCACTACAATAGCTATCAAAACCTCACCTCTTTCAGTTATGAGCGCACCCCTCTGTGGCTACTGGATTTATTTTTATTTGTCTGCTTGTAACTGATATATGTTTTTAATTAGCAATTATGATTACAACTACAATATGAGTATTTTAATTTTAAATGTTTAATGACAAATATTGTGTTGGGTTACAATCGGTTGTATTGTTTGTTTCGGGTGACCTAAAGGACTGTACTTTAATGTCACAATGCATGTCTTATCCTGTTTTACTGACACTTTTGGCACCAAAAGAAACTAAATTATATAGACATCTATATTTTATTTGTCTTCTTGGCTTATATCTCCTTATATTGTCAGTTAATATTTATCTTAATATAGCCATTATCATAGAGAAAGCTCTTCATGAACCAATGTACATCTTATGTCATCTGTGTATAAATGGTGTTTATGGAGCATAAGGATTTTACCCTAAAATTCTCTGCAAACTTGTGTTATCTACAGCTCTTTACTTTCTGAGATCACAATATTAACAGTGATGTCTTAAGATAGATATGTAGCCATATGTAAACCTCTAGATTATCATTCCAGACTAACTAATTAAAATAGCAATAATAACATTAAAATACCAGGTGTGATATGTACAAATATTAAAGAATCATGAAGGAATAATAGTTGTCAAATCTAAGCATGTTGTCAACTGTATTTGATTTTATTCATTTTGTATGATAACATACATATGAATGGTCAATTGAATGTATCATGACATTGATTTTTTCTATCATTTAAATATGCCCCTTGAGGGTGACTTTTTATGTTATTAATTACTGAAAAGGCCTAAATATAAGATGTGCCTACTCTAAAGCTTATCAGTAAAAGGGCAATATATTAATTGGCTAATATCACTGTACAGGAATGTTATATGGCGTTCACGTCTGCCTGTAATTATTACTTTCAATTGATCTTGTTTTTTCCTTTTTCCTGTTCAGTTTTCTATTGATTGATTTGGTGATGTCAGGTTTTTAAAACTGAAGGGGGTGGGCTTTTCGCTCTTGCACCTTCACATCACATCACATCACATCACATCACATCACCACAGTTTCTGAATGCATTATTGTTGTGTTCTCTTTTATAATTTCGTTTTGACATTTGTTTGGAGTGAGAAGTACTAACCTGCTTTAGGTTTGTTTGGTTGTTTTTTTTTTGTTATGTTGTTGGGCTCCCCGATTCTTGTCATTTTGGATTGTTTTGCTGATTATGTTGTGTTCATAAATAATTGCAACATAGGCTCATTCTAAAAACGTAGCCCTATAAATACTTTTCTGGAGATTGCAAATTATGTAGCCAGAAGTACGTATGGCTGGAGTTTGTCTTTAAAACAAAAGAAATGGGGCAATATGATGTTACTCCTTTTCATGCTTAGCAGCTGACCAGCTTTCCTGCTGTTACCAGTTTGTCCAGTTTGCTCACCATGTACATCTGCGGACTTGATATGCAGAGAGGCAAAGAATGGTTCCAGAAAGCAGATAAAACAATAACAGAACCCAAAAATAAAGCAAAAAAGTAAATAACATGTTGAGAGTGAGGTAAAATATGAAAACGTGGTAAAAATCAGGCAAGGGCTATTCTTTTTCTGGATTGCTTTTTAAAACTGACAGTAAGGTTCAGGGAAGTGGGTCGGTGGGTCAATTGGTGCTATTGAAAACACTATTGATGGGATTAGGGATTGGGTCTGCAGTTTGTCATGGGAGGATCTACTGAAACAACAGTGCACAAGTGTGGTGGCTTCCGCTATAGTAACTATGTACATCTGATTCTGCTGTAATTAAAACAGGGAAATAACAAATCTGCCGGCATTGCTGGTCTATGGAAGCAATAATGCTCAATGTGTAACAATCTGTGTTATTTACAACAGATACACATTGTTTACTAGTTAGAACATTTACCCTGATCTTCTCCCAGATAAACAGCAACTTACTTTCATATAGTTTAGAAAAGTGTTGAATTTATGTGTTGCAAATCCATCAGCCTTAATCTCCATTGCAGCACATGGAGCTGCTGTATGTCATGTCATAAACCATGAAATTATTCGAGTGATGCATTCTAAATAACTCACAAAAACAGTCAACTGGACTATTTAAAACTATTTTTTTGAAAGTGTTAAATTAACTCTGGCTAAACTATTTCTTTCTCTAACATCCAAAAGAACACTTTTTGGACACAAATATTTTTCTAACACTTAACCCATGCTTGAGAATGAGAGTCCAATAGTCTTTAACAAAAAGACTTTAACAGTATAAATAACTCTTGTGATCTCTCCATTACACTGTGATTCATTTACATTACAGTTTAGAGTCATATGTTCTGGGAAAAAAACCTGTAAGGATGCAAAAAAGATTTGAACATGTAATTTATAAATCTATTCAGTTCCACTTTACTTTAAATCTGTCATTCTACATAGTATAAATTAAACGATTTTCATGTTTTTAAATTAAGTGATTAATTAACTGTTAAGCAATATTTGTGTATGAATAAACAAAATCAGAGGATTGTCCAGTATTTTTTACAAGTGAACACTTAAACCCAAGAGATCTTATGAGGTCTTCTAGGGATATCGCTAATGATAAAAGATCTGACTTGGAGCAACCAGTTCTAGATCCGTCTTTTTTTTTGAGAGAGAGAGAGATTCACACAGCAGTGCATAATGAAGCCTAATCAGACATAACTGGCTAATGATTATCAGAATGCTGATTAACAATTCATTTTATATTTTTATTTTATTTTGATTTGTGTGTGTGTGTGTGTGTGTGTGTGTGGTGGGGGATTGTGAGTTTATGTTATTCAAACCATAATGGATAACATGTCTTATCCTGTGATATTAACTCTTATTATCCCTAAAGATTCTAAATCTTATAGGCATGTATATTTTATTTGTTTCCTTGTCTTATATCTGCTTATATTGTCCATTAATATTCGTCTTGTTGTGGTCATAGTTATGGAGAAAGTTCTTCATGAACCAATGTACATCTTCTTATGTCATCTGTGTATAAATGGTGTTTATGGAGCAACAGGATTCTACCCTAAAATACTGTCTGATTTAATATTGGATTCATACGTGATTTCCTCTCACATGTGTGCTCTGCAGATCTTTGTTATTTACAGTTCTTTACTGTGTGAGTTCACAATATTAACAGTGATGTCTTATGACAGATATGTTGCCATTTGTAAACCTTTAGACTATCATACAAGATTAACCAAAAATACTTGTGTAAAATTAATTCTGTTCTCAAGAATTGCACCCACTTTTTCTGTTTTCATTGGCACCTTGTTATCAAATGTGAGGCCTTTTTGTACTTATCACATAGACAAATTATACTGTGACAACTGGTCAGTTGTAAAACTGTCTTGTGCATCATCTTTTGTTAATGATGTCTATGGATACATTATTGGTGTTGTTTCTATTAGCTTTGCGGTTTTTATAATTTTTTCCTATATTAAGTTGGTTGCTGCTTGTAAAGCATCTTTAGAAAACAGAAAAAAATTCTGGCAAACTTGTCTGCCACATATATTCTCACTGATTAATTTCTGCATTGCTATAACTTTTGATTTCATGTATAGCAGATATGGTGCAAAAGACGTGCCAGAGAGTTTACGCCATTTTTTAGCTTTAGAGCTAGTGATTGTCCCACCTCTGTTTAATCCTCTAATCTATGGGTTAAATATAAGAGTACTACGTAAATTAGCTTTTACTTCATGTAATGCAGGAAGATAATTGTTGCACATGTTCTAAAATGTTGTAAAAACAGATGTTAAACCTGTCTTAATAATTCATGATTTTATATAAAACTGTAATAAAGGAAAAGAAAAAGCATATTACTAATAAAGTAGCAACACTCATACATACACGACCAGTCAAAAGTTTGGGGTGTTTTTTTTTTTTTTTCTTTAAGAAAACTATTGTGTTTATAAAGGTGCATGGCATATTTTAAATGTCAAAAAGTGTAAAATGCTTATTTATTAAGTATTTATTTATTACTATTGTATATAGTTTCAAATGAAATTATAACTCCACTCATTATTGATTTTATTACTATTACCATTAATAATAATAATACTAATAATAATAATATAAATTAATTTTACAGTGATTTCAGAAGGATCATGTGACTGAAAACTGGAGTAATAAAGCTGAAAATCCATCATTAAAATCACTAGAATAAATAATGAAATTAAATGATAAACTACTTTTGAACAGTTATTTTATATGGCAATAACATTTCACAATTTAAAATTTTTTTACTGCATTTTTGATTAAATAAATGCAGCCTTGGTGAGCAGGATGAGCTTATTTTAAAATATTAAAAAAAAATCATACTGATTCCAAACTTTTGATTGGTAGTGTACAATAACAGAATATGATGTTTTTGTATCCTGTTCAGAGACCAAATGTCTGAGTCTTTTGAGTCATTACATCATTGTTGCAAATTTCTGCAAAATATTTATTTCCTCAACTCCTCATGTTAAATATGTTTTTTTATTTTTTTTAAATTAAAGAATATTTTACTCAATTTAATTTAGAACAGTCTTTGAAAATGTGATCTTTATTTTTAAGTCAACATTCTCTCTTTGAATTCCATGACATACTGTAAGCATCAATATAAAATTTAAAATGTTAAAAGATATAATTAATCATTTATTATTAAAATTAGTATGTTGTTCATAAGTTTGACAACATATACAACCAAGGTAAATGAAATAGATGCTCCCACAACTCAGTAATGTCTAAAGTAACATCAAATATAAGAAAATGAACTGTATTTATTTTTCAATCATCTAAACCACAAAACATTACAATACTTCATAATTAAAGAAAATTTGCATGGTTAATTTTGCTTCCATTATGTGATATTTTGGAAAGAGCTGTGATGTATATTAGACCTAAATCTTGGGAGAATTTGAATGAAGTTCAAGTTTAATGAAATACAACATTGGATGGACAATGAAACTGAAACGCCTGGTTTTAGACCACAATAATTCATTAGTATGGTGTAGGGCAGGGGTCACCAACCCTGTTCCTGGAGAGCTACCTTCCTGCACATTTCAGTTGCAACCCTGACCAAACACACCTGTTTGTAATTATCAAGTGCTGCTTTAGGTACTATTAATTGGTTCAGGTGTGTTTGATCAGGGTTGGAACTGAATTCTGCAGGAAGTTAGCTCTCCAGGAACAGGGTTGGTGACCCCTGGTGTAGGATCTCCGTTTGTGACTAACTGTGACAGTCACCAGCGATCTAGCCCATGCAGATCGCTTGAGAACTACAAATCTGCCAGTAAAAGAACTACAAGATCCAGTCATGAACCACTCACACACCTGGCCTAGATCCTACCTGATTGCAAACACTCACAGCTGAAGCCGCTCATGAACTGATTACTGAACTATTTATACAGCACACAAACACACAGAAGTTGCTGAGTCTTGTTAAACTGTATAGTGAACATTACAACGCGTTTTCCTTTCCTTGACTTCCGTGCTTTTGAACCTTGCTTTGTTTTGTTTGCTTTACCCTGTCTGCTCCGTGCCTTTTGACCATCCGCCAGTTATATGACCACGACTCTAGAAATCGCCCATATACATATACATCTGTTTGCTTCTGTGTTGACTGTTGCTTGCCTGACAATCATACCTGACCATGGACCGTCTTAACCATCATACTCCACAATGCGACTGCACAAACCCCGTGAGACATTAGAATATTATATTGAACTGGCTTTAAGTTTGTCGGGGTCCCCTTTCACCGTAGACAAGGTGGAGGACATCCCTAAATTTTAGGGGTGGGGGCAGACACCACTGTAACACTGGGCTTAATGGTGTTCTTCTCAAATGCCCCCCGTTGGTATGCCAAGTTATGCCTGACCAAAGTGGCCACAACCAGCCCTCCAACTCACAATATGGTCACCGCCAGTCTGCCACCAGCTCACAAGATTCCTGTTCCAAGTTTGTTCCTGTCATAGTTCCAGTCCAAGTTCCTGTTCCTAAAATGCTATCACCTGAGCAAGAGTTGCCAGAGCTGCTACCACTGCCACAGCTGTTACTGCCAGAGTTGCCACCGCCAACTCCGTCACTGCCAGACCCGTCACTGCCAGATCCTCCATAACTGCCAGAGCTGCCAGATCCACCGTCACTGCCAGGTCTTCTAGAGTTGTCAGATCCCTTTCCTGAGTCCCCGGCACCAGATCCTCCTGAAATCCCTGAATGGCAGACGCCAGATTCTCTTGAATCTCCTTAATGGCAGGCTCTAGATCCTCTCGAATTCCACGAATGGCCAGGGGCGCCAGATCCTCTTGAACTTCCCAAATGGTCAGGGGTGCCAGATCCTCTCGAATTCCCCGAATGGCCAGGTGCACCATGCACCTGAATTCCCTTAATGGCGAGAGGTGCCAGATCCACTTAAGTGGCCAGGCGTGCCAGATCCTCTTGATTGGCCAGGGGTGCCAGATCCTCCTGAAGTCCATGAATAGCCAGAGGCGCCAGATCCTCCTGAATTCCCTGAATGGCCAGTGCCGCCACCTGAGTCAAACAAAAGGCCAGAGCCGCCACCAGAGTCCCACAAATGGCTGCCAGAGCTGTGTGACTTGCCAGAGCCGTGTGACTTTTCAATGCTTCCTGAACCAAAGCCCCCTGACTTACTGGGGTTATATGAACTGCCAGTACTTCCTAAATCAAAGCCCCCTTACCCACTGGTGTTATACAAACTGCCAGTGACTCCTAAACCAAAGTCTCCTGACCCTCTGGGGTTAAATAAACTGCCAGTGCCTTCTGAACCTAAGCCTCCTGACCCACTGGGGTTTGATGAACTGCCAGTGCCTGCTGAACCTGAGCTCCCAGATTTACTGCAAGTCCACACACCAGGCTCTCTGCAGGTCCAGGCTCCAGGTACATCTCCGCTGCATGGTCCTGGCCCTCGGTCCCACCCCCTGTTCCACTTCCTCATCACCTTCCTCCTGGACTGCAGTGGGAGTGTCTGGAAGCCGCTCTTGGAGAGGGGGCTCTGTCACAGTCATCAGCAATCTAGCCTATGCAGATCGCTTAAGAACTACAAATTTGCCAGCAAAAGAACTACAAGTTTGAGTCAAGCACCACTCACACCCCTGGCTTAGATCCTGTCTGATTGCAAACACTTACAGCTGAAGCCACTTATTAACTGATTACTGGGCTATTTATACAGCACACAAACACATTCCATCACGTTTCCAATCCTTGCCTTCCGTGATTGTGAACTTTGCTTTGTTTTGTTTGTTTTACCCAGTCTGCTGCTTGTCTTTTGACCATCTGCCTGTTATATGACTACGACTCTGGAATTGCCCGTAAACATCTGTTTGCTCCTTTAATGTTGACTGTTGCTTGCCTGACCATGTCTGTTCATCAAACCCAACGTTTGGATCCACATTCCCTTTGTCCAGCGTCACTGTCACATTACAACAGCACAGCATTAATTTATCTTGAGAATGATAGAAACAAGACATGCACAGTGACCAGAAGGATTTTGAGCTATTCTTCTTGCAGATTAGTCTGCCTGATCTCAGAAGGAAACTTGACTATTTTACATTTTATCAGTTTTTTTTTGACTACTTCATATGAGTACTGTCATACAAAAATGTATGATTTTAAAAAGGAGGCGTGACACTCTGTCACTGAGGAATAAGCAAATCATCTTAAATTACATGAATGTGATCATACAAAATAATACAAATTAACCACTAAATCAAAAAAGTTACAAATTGCCATGAGATTGTGTTGGAATAGTGGTCAGGTCACTACAAGATGTTGTTGTAAGAAAACAATTCCAGAATCGCTCCTCCAAATCACCCCAAAGTGGCTCAATAATATTTGGTTCTGGTGACTGTGCAAGCCTAGGGAGATGTTCAACTTCACTTTCATGTTCATCAAACCACTCTGTCACACAGTCTTGCTGTGTGCATTGGTGCATTATCATCCTGATACATGGCCCAACTTTCAGGATACAATGTTTGAACCAATGGGTGCAGATGGTACTCCCGACTGTACAGGACTCCTCGGCAGTGATGCACCCATCTAGCACAAGTATTGGACCCTGGATATTGCAGGCCAATACATTACTGATCTACCCCTATGTGTCACTTTGGGCATGCAACAGTTTGAGTGGTACTCTTCTTTGGGGCTTCTCCACACTGTAACTCTCCCAGATGTGGGAAAGACAGACAAAAAAGGTGGACTCATCAGCCCAAAATTTTCTCTACTAGCACCATTGAAACCGACGTTTGGCATTGGCATGAGTAACCAGAAATTTGTCTATAGCAGCCCTGCCATGTATATTGACCATGTAGAGCTCTCAACAAACAGTTTTAGTGGAAACAGGAGATTTGAGGTGCACCTTTAATTCTGCAGTGAGTTGTGCAGCAGTGATTTTATGTTTTTGGATACAATGTGAGTTAGACCCAGGCATCCCTTTCAGACAGATTTTTCTTGGCATGTGGTTTGTCCTTCTTGGTAGTATGCTGACATTACCCTGGATACCGTGGCTCTTGATACATCAAAAAGGCTCTCTGTCTTGGTCACAGATATGCCAGCGAGACACACACCAACAATTAGTTCTTTTTTGATAAGTCACCCATAATGTTGTGTGCATTGCAATATTTTTAGCAAAAATGTTATTCCTCTCCTAATTAAGCCTTCACACTCTGCTAACTGGTGAATTGTGCAATCAATGAAGATTGGCCAGCAGGCTAGTCAAATTCAGCCTTGAAACCTCCAACACTAAATTGGCCACTGTTTCAGTTTCATTGTCCAATCCTTGAATATGTACCAGATTAGTTTAAATACCAATTCCCAATATTAACTACCTGCGTATAACCTGATTATTAAGATATTGGCTGTTTACAAGTAATTTTAATATAAAGTAACTTATTTTACATCCCTAATCCTATTTAATACCCAAACCCAACAACGTACTACCTTCCTTACTACTGTTAAGCAGCATATTAGTTCTTCATTGAACTAAAAATCAAGACAATGGTTTGTTGATAGCAAGAATTGCACTATAAAATAAAGTGTAACCTTTATTTTAAACAAGCTCGTTACAAAATGTTGTTGATGAGTGAATAATTAATCCCAAGAATATTTCTTAGAGATTTCCCTAATGAGAAATCACAAGCTATAAAACCAAGCAAGATCTCACCAGTTTCTCGCACACTCCTGTGGATGCACTGTTTATTGTCATTTTTCTGACTGTGGCTGAAATGATGATTGAAATGCTTGGTTTATGTTTTACTAACTAATAAAAGTCTTATTGTTCTGTTACAGTAATCTAGGTTGTACTGCATAATGTATGCTTATTTCATGTGATCTGAAGAACTGTGGCCAAAATATTATAATGGATAACATGTCTTATCCTGTGATACTGACACTTATGGTGCCAAAAGAAACTAAACTATATAGACATATATATTTTATTTGTTTTCTTGTCTTATATCTCCTAATATTGTCTATTAATATTTGTCTTGTTATGGTCATTATCATAGAGAAAGTTCTTCATGAACCAATGTACATCTTCTTATGTCATCTGTGTATAAATGGTGTTTATGGAGCAACAGGATTCTACCCTAAAATACTGTCTGATTTAATATTGGATTCATATGTGATTTCCTCTCACATGTGTGCTCTGCAAACCTATGTTATCTACAGTTCTTTACTGTCTGAGATCACAATATTAACAGTGATGTCTTACGATAGATATGTAGCCATATGTAAACCTTTAGATTATCATTCCAGACTAACCAAAAATACCTGTGTGAAATTAATTCTGTTCTCATGGATTGTTCCCACCAGCTTCTCAGTTGCATCAATCCTGTTGTCAAATTTGAGGGCTTTTTGTAAATATCACATTGACAAGTTATATTGTGACAACTGGTCGATTGTAAAACTGTCTTGTGTATCATCTTTTGTTAATAACGTCTTTGGATATGGTATCGCTGTAATATTTTTTAGCTTTGTAGTTCTTATTATATTTTCCTACATTAAACTGGTCGCTGCATGTAAAGCATCTTTAGAAAACAGAAAGAAATTCTGGCAAACATGTCTGCCACACATATTTTCACTGATTAATTTTACTTTTGCTTTTCTTTTTGATTTTATGTACAATAGATATGGTTCAAAAGACATTCCAGAGAGTTTGCGGCATTTTTTAGCTTTAGAGCTGGTGATTGTTCCACCTCTGTTTAATCCTCTAATGTATGGGTTAAATATTCGAGCAGTGCGCAAAAGAGTTTTTACTTCATGTGGGGCAGCAAAAGTAAACATTTTGGAAAAAGTCCACAAATTTATTATGCATTAAATGCAATGCATGGGGGTTGAAATGCTTATTTAGATTTAAAACTAAAATACAACAAACTGTGAGAAAGTTTGTAATTTTAAAAAATAATGTTTTCTAGTGTGATGTATGTACAAATTTTATTAATAATAATAAAAAGTTGGGATTCTAATAAATACTCAGCCTAATGTTGTCATGTTGTCACACTGTTCAGCATATATAAGTATGCACAAATCTATCTTTTAATTTAATATTTTTAATAGGAAGTTATAAAATATTATATTTGTGTATATACATTAAATTAGTCAGTACTGAAGCCAAATCTGGAGCTTTCATTCATTCATTCATTTTCTTTTCGGCTTAATCGCTTTATTAATCTGGGGTGGCCACAGCGGAATGAACCGCCAACTTATCCAGCATATGTTTTATGTGGTGGATGCCCTTCCAGCTGTAACTCATCACTTGTGGGTGAAACCGGAGCACTCGGAGGAAACCCACGCAAACGCAGGGAGAACATGCAAACTCCACACAGAAATGCCAACTGACCCAGCCGAGGCTCGAACCAGCAACCTTCTTACTGTAAGGTGACAACACTACCTGCTGCGATATCGCGTTGCCCCAAATACAAAAAACTTACCATAATGGTCCAAAATCTAGTACACCCAAATTTATGTTATAGAAAAATATTTTCCTCTGGTTTTCATCCGGGTACTACGGTTTCTCCCTAAGTCCAAAGACATGTGCTATAGGTAAACTGGGTGAACTAAATTGCCTGTAGTGTATGGTGTTTCCAAGTGATGGATTACGGCTGGAAGGGCATCCACTGTGTAAAACATAAGCTGGATAAGTTGGTGGTTCATTCCGCTGTGGAAACTAAGCTAAAAAGAAAATGAATGAATGAATGAATATCTGTTTATTAAATCTGTTTTGTTTAAATGCACCAAAATAAATAGCCTATTCACTGAGAAATGGATAAAAATGTTTATTTTAATAATTATTTTATTAACTTTAGATACTCAGTAAAAGCAATGTAATCTCTCTGAAAGAATGTGCCATTCAAAGCTTTGCAATTTTCACTTATGCAATTGGGGGGTGAAGCGTTGGCACAGTAGGTAGTGCTGTCACCTCACAGTTGGCATTTCTGTGTGGAGTTTGCATGTTCTCCCCGCGTTAGCGTGGGTTTCCTCTGGGTGCTCTGGTTTCCTCCACAAGTCCAAAGACATGCTGTACAGGTGAATTGGGTAAGCTAATTTGTATCTGTTTGAATGAAAGTGTATGAGTGTTCCCCAGTAATGGGTTGCAGCTGGAAGGGCATCCGCTGCGTAAAACACATGCTGGATAAATTGGTGTTTCATTCCATTGTGGCGACCTCAGATTGTGAAAGGACTAAGCAAAAAAGATAATGAATGACTTATGCAATTGGAGAGTTTACTAATCTAAGCATGATGGAGTTTGATAGATTGCTTTCAATTTAAAGTGCAAAGGCTTAACTAGGTTAATTAGGTTAACAAGATTTGTTAGGCTAATTAGGCAAGTAATTGTATAACGATGGTTTGTTTTGTAGATTATCTGAAAAAAAAAATTGCTTAAGAAGGCAAATTATAGTCAAATAATATTGACCTTTAAAATTAAAAACTGCTTTTATTGTAGCCTAAATAAAAGAAATACGATTTTTTCCAGAAGAAAAAAATATTATTAAAAAAATTGTGAAAATCACTTGCTCTGTTTTTCATAATTTGGAAAATATTTAAAAATAAATAATAAAATCATAGGAGGGCTAATAATTTTGACTTCAACTGTATATAAGCAATTTGTAAACATTATATGTTTATAACATTACATTACGTACAGTGTGAATGTTAATGTATTCAGGTTTAGGCTTTTCTTATAAAATTTGTAATAATTGTATTATCATCTACACAACATCCACATCTGAATTTCACATGTATCCCATTCCAAACATTCCAAAAAAAGTAGATAGATTTTCTCTTTATCATTGCTTTTATTTTATTTTATAACCTCAACTGGCCTTGAATTTTTATTCTTGTCTTCCCCCTTCTACTTCCGCCAATGCAGTCTGAGGCAGCACTGAATGAAAGTATATTTTGTACAATCTTAAAGTTATCCAAATGATAAATTGTTAAATAGGTGGCACAATGGCTCAGTGATAAGCACTCTATAGCAAGAACATTGCTGGTTCAAGTCCAGGAGGTCTTTCTGAGAAGAGTTTGCATGTTCTCCCCGTCTGTTTCTTCCAGGTGCTCTGGTTTACACTACAGCCCAATACTTATTCAGTATAAGTGCATTGGGTAAACTAAAATTGGTCATAGTGTATGTGTGTGTGACAATGAGTTTGTGTGTGAATGAGTGGTGTTTCCCAATGCTGGGTAGTGGCTTAAAGGGCATCCGCTGCATAATTCTGCTGTGATGTCCGCTGATAAATTAAGGAAAATTAGTAATTTGATAAACTTTTAAAATCCCTTTCAGTAATTTCATGCCCAGGAAACAGATTGCAAGTTTAGAATGCTTAGGTCGTTATTATTATATTAATGTTAACCAGCAGGGCAGTCAATTTGTACATAAATTCTAATTCTAAGGCGTTTGAAGGCAGTATTAATATGCAGCCAAGCTCCTTGCCATCAAGATTAACCCAAAAACATGACTTTTCCATCTATTTGGTTGCTGATTGAAATTTTAAATGCACAACATCAGTGATGTCTCAGAAATTACTACTGTCTGCACACATCAAAGCTGTCATTGTTAAAAACCTGTCACTTTGGGTCAATAGAGCATATTATGGGTTTACTGTTGTCATGTAAATTTGGGAAATATTTTTATAAAAAACTTTTTTTCCTAAAAAAGTCACGTATAGTACATTAAAAGTTATTATCAATATCAATACTTGCAACTTTCAAAGGACTGATAAACCCATCCCATCCTCTGACCCTGTGCTATAAAAATAACATGTACAAGCGATTCAGCCACATTTATCCGGCAATCTCCCTCAGAGTACAGAACAATATACTGTAGGAACCATTTTTATTATACTGTAGGACTTTCCAGAGCACATCAACATTTTAACACTCCCGTTTAGTGTTTCAGGTACAAACCTCTCAGTTCAGTTAGACAGCTTTTGAATATTCTCTCTTCTGCATATTTGACTGTAAATATAATAATAAGAAAATGTGACAATGCTGGTTATAATATGAATTTTCCCTTCTTTTTGGATTAGTGTCTGGTCTTCATTAGTCTGTCAAGTGGAATGGACAACAATTCCTCTTTCTCCATGTTCTCTCTCACCGCTCTGAATGGCAGCAGATCCAGCAGGATCACAATTTTTTCCTTTGCCCTGCCAGGTTACTTTCTCACCATTTTTGTCAACACACTCTTGATTTTGATAATTGTTCTGGAGAAAGTTCTCCACCAGCCTATGTATATTTTTCTGTGCAACTTATGTATAAATGGATTATATGGAGCCACAGGATTTTATCCACCCCTGCTGTATTATTTACTCAGTGAAAGCAATGTAATCTCTCTGAAAGAATGTGCCATTCAAAGCTTTGCCATCTTTACTTATGCAATTGGTGAGTTTACTAATCTAAGCGTGATGGCGTTCGATAGATACTTAGCAATCTGTAGACCATTATACTATCATAATATCATGACAACTGTCACTGTTTGGAGGCTATTGACTTTCATTTGGATGTTTCCCTGCTGCACTGCAATACTGCTTATACTTATGACACTTAGATTTCCCATCTGCATAAAAAAAATAAGCAAACTGTACTGTGAAACCTGGGTTCTGGAGAGACTCGTCTGCGGCGTGGACACTGCTCAGTTTGTGTTCAATGGAATATTAACATGTGCTGTTAATGCTCTGGTATGGTTCGTGTTTTTGTCTTATATAAATATACTGGTTGCTTGTAAGCACTCTGTTCAAAACCACAAGAAATTTATAAGCACATGCTTGCCACATCTGATAGCCTTTTTGAATTACGTCTTCTGGTCACTATTTAGTACCTTATACGAGCTGTTTGGAATAAGCAGTTTGTCTCAAGAGTTTAAGAACTTTTTGTCTGTTACCTTTATGATCATTCCACCTTTGATTAATCCTGTAATATATGGAATAGTTTTAACGCCTATTAGAACTAAAGCAAAACATGTATTCCAAAGCTTTAGACCAAAACATATTGATTAAGCATTGCTTTTTCACAAACGTTTTGCAGGAAAAAAGGTGCATCCATTACTTACTATTAGTCTGTGTTCAAACTGCATTTACATTTACAAACATGATTCGATATATATATATATATATATATATATATATATATATATATATATATATATATATATATATATAAATGCCACTGTATGTAATTTAGTCATCAAAAGACTAGTTCTATATGTATTAGCCCTTTCTAGTGATTTAGATATGTACCAAGTTGTTGATCAATTACTGTACATGAAATGTACGACATCAGATATAGGAAAACACGGCCACCAACTCTTTAGAAAAGACTGTCTGTGCATTTAACTCACTTTATTAAAGTTTTGTCACAAAATGCTTGAAAATGGTCAAGAATGTGGCCAGACTTAACAGAAAATTCATTATATCTCACCGATTTTGAGAGCATTGTGCTGACTGGCTGTTCAATTTTGAATGAAATGTCAAATGATTTATTTGTTTAAAAATCTTTTAGATCAAAAATTATCTCCTATTATCTGCTGGGAACATATCATCCTCAGGCCACATCCAACGTGAATAACTAACACATCTGTAGAAACATTTAAACATTACAGTACTATCATAATTTCTGTAAGCTAAAAAGGCCACTTATTTTGTAAAACATTTTATTTCTGTTATTATTTATACAGTTAAAACAGTCAACAATGCACATATTTGCAAATAAGTCATCTGGAAGTACTGTATATGGGTAACAGTGGGTAAATACTGCAAGTATTGAATATGTCAACATTTTTCTTATAATATATTGGTGGTGTGTCCCATTTTGAAAACAACCAATGTTCATATTTAAAAAGAAAAAAATAGTAACTTTATAAATTTAGTTGTGTAATAAAATGAAATGGTGCAAGAAAAAAGTATTGAATACATGGAGAAAGGGAGGTGTAAAAAAGGCATGCAAAGCGCAAACAGCAGTTGGAATCTCTCAGTAGTTAATCAGCAACCCTGGCCCTCAGAAGTGTAAATGAATATAAGCTGTTTCAAAAATTCATTCATTTTTTTGTCGGCTTAGTCCCTTTATTAATCCGGGGTCGCCACAGCGGAATGAATTGCCAACTTATCCAGCAAGTTTTTACTCAGCGGAAGCCCTTCCAGCCGCAACCCATCTCTGGGAAACATTCACACACACATTCTAACCTTCTTGCTGTGAGGCGACAGCACTACCTACTGCGCCACTGCCTCGCCCCTGTTTCAAAAAAATAAATAAATAAAATTGTGACATGTTCAATGCTTACCTGTTGTGTGTGTATATAATTGTACTTTTACTTTATTTTTTACTTTATTTTTACACACACATTCACACACAACAGACAATTTAGCCTACCCAATTCACCTGTATCGCATGTCTTTGGACTGTGGGGGAAACCGGAGCACCCGGAGGAAACCCACACGAAGGCAGGGAGAACATGCAAACTCCACACAGAAATGCCAACTGAGCTGAGGTTCGAACCAGCGACCCATCGACCTTCTTGCTGTGAGGCGACAGCACTACCTACTGCGCCACTGCCTCGCCCCTGTTTCAAAAAAAAAAAATAAATAAAATTGTGACATGTTCAATGCTTACCTGTTGTGTGTGTATATAATTGTACTTTTACTTTATTTTTCACTTATTTAAATGTTATTTCTGTCCTCCTGTGTCAATATTTACCCTGAGCTTATGTAAACCACAAAAACTCCTTGTGTGTTTGCACAAATTTGGCAATTATGCTGATGTAGAATAAAATGTAAAGAGCTTTAAACTTTTTTCTGGATTAGTCTTTCTTTATTTAACTGGCTAAGAACACAAACTAAAGAGCCGGGGGGAGGGGGTAGATGTGCGTGGATGGGGGGTGGAAGGGGGTTTGTTACACAAACTGAAGACTGAGGAGGAAGGGTAAAATTCCAGGAGTTTTCTGGGAGACAGAACAAAATGGGAGATGGGTCTGAAATACAGGAAACTCCCGAGAAAAACAGGAGTGTTGGCAGGTATGTTCATACTGTGATCAGTATCCTTTATGGAGATCAGCGTCGCCCTGGCAACACAACAGAAATACCTGGGGAACATCACTAGCCAATCTGTCAAGGCTGATATTAATCAAGCCACCCCATAAAAGAAAGGCTTAGAGACCCAATAGGTGAGCCATGACTTCATTACATTAATGCTTACTTGTTTCTCCATTTTCCTCAGATGATACGCTGTAACCCCTTGACCTAAAGAGGAAAGCACTGGACACCACGACCTGGAGAGGAAAGGGAGGACATCCAATGCACCTGAGCACTCTCACCTGTTTTATTGCAAAATTCAATAAATAAATCTACCCTCCAGGGTTTCACTCACAGTTCTGCCTCACAGTGGTAGAGATTGCGAAAGAAGATCCCGGTGAAGTAGACCGATAAATGCAGCTTTACCGTTCACACTGTTTGTTTACAATGCCATCTTAGATTTCTCATATCCGTTTTTCATTCACAGGTGTGCTCCTCCCCAAGAAAAGATGAAGGAGATCCTACAACTCATGGACCTTAGCATCCACAAGCAGCAGTTCTTCAAACACTGTTGACCGACAGGGCCAAAAAAAGAACATGCAAGTAGGATACTACCAAAATTACTGCATGTGATGATGATAAAGAATACTTGAATATGTTTGAGGTTATAGCGATCACCATAAGATGGGAGAAGGAGTTCTGGGTAAAAGCGTTGGCACCCCTGTTGACTGGCGAGGCAAAAAGAGAGTACTTTTCAATACCCACAGCATCAGTAGAAAACTACGAAGAGGTAAAAAAAAAAATTTAACTTGTGTGGGCCCCAACAACTTGTGTGTCGCCAGCCTCCCCGGGTTTAAGCAGGAGAAAAGGTGAGGCTCATGCAGCATTGGCTGTTGGATAAGTCACCTACCATGAGTCGGGAAGCTGAGTGAATGGTAATCAACCGGTTCCTTAGAGCCCTCCCATGCTACATGTAGCAGGCGGTCAGCATGAGAAAACAGATGATGGTGTAAGAGCAGGTGGATGCCATCGAGCCGGCGGATATGGCTTATCAACAGGACACCAGGGAGAGAGCGCAGCCATTTCCTTGCATGGTGATCCAGGAGCTACACGTTCTAGAGGGCACCCAGAGACCAGTAGATAGGCCGACACTGTTATTGCCCTACAACGAGTCCATTCCCTAGGATACACCATCTTCTTTAGTCAGGAAACGGTTGGCATCGTCCATCAGGAGGCACCCCGAGAAGCCCCAGACATAAACATAGAGCTCGATGGACAAAACCACCGTGTCCTTCTGGACTAAAGAAGTGCAGTCAGTCTGATACACAAGAGAATTCGATGCCCCCTGGTAACCAGAAAATGATCAATCCCAATAATGTGTGTTCACGGCGATACTCACTATGTGCTTACTCGAAGGATGAACATCAGGATGGGAGCTGAGTCCAAGCAGGTGGAGGCAGGGATTCTAAAAGATTTACCGTCTTGTTGGGATGTGACTGGTCGAGACTGAAAAAATCAATGGTGCTTGCCTTGCAGCCTACCAATCCACATGGATGCTGTCGTCAGAGACAGTCGTAGGGGGAGGAACATCAGCTGGCCCTTCTGACATCAAATAATAGGAGAGATCATGAGCCTCCCCCCCCCATAATTCTAATCTGTCCTAGGATATGTTCCAACAGGTCATGGGAGGGTGCTCTTTAGGTAAGGAGCAGAAGGAGGACGATCATCTAAAACACTGCAGGGTACAAAAATCCACCAGATAGAGGTCAAAGATGTTTATTCTGCTCCCCATCCTCTCCCACATTGTATAGTGTAGAACAGCCTGCTTTACTGTGTCACTCAAAAATGAAGAAAGAGGTGATCCTGGAGTTGGCTTACTCCCGTTCTCTGCTAGGTCGAGACCGGTTTTATCAGCCCAGCCTGGAGGCAAGAAAGATTTACAAAAAGACCTACTCCTTCCGTATGTTCTCTTCTGGAAAAGGGAAGTTCCCCAAGCCTCAAAAGAATTTACCTCTTCAAGCTCTTTTTTGGGTGCCAACCAAGAGGTCTCCTCCATGTGGGAGCCAAGAAGCAGCAGTTGGCAGCTCATCAAACGGTGGTCAAGCATGTGCGAGAGATGAGGGAAAGGATTGACCGCGTCATGCTATTTGTCCAGGAGCACCTGGTGAAGGCCCAACAATCTCAGCAACGGCACTACAACCAGGAGAATCCTGACTACAGGGATACCAGCTGGGAATTAAGGTTATGACCATGGTTACCAATGCTGCTTGTAAGTTCCTGGCGACATGACAAGGCCCTTACATCGTTGGAACTGTAAACTACCAAGTAAAGCAACCAGGAAGAAGACAGTCAAAACGTACCATGTGAACCTCCTAAAGTGGTGGGCAGGGATCCAAGACCAGGTAGCTACCTTACACTCACCGAATCTATAGTGGTGGACACCTACCCAGAGCTGTCCGCCACCCAGAAGTCAGAGCTGAGACAACTAGTTGTTAGGTACAGAATGTATTCGCAGTGACCCCTGGCCACACCAACCTCCTCCAACATGACATCCAAACGCCCCCTGGAGTCATTATCAGACAACAGTCCTATCGAGTCCCAGAGACCCATTGACAGGCTATAGAGGAGGAATTCCAAAAGATGCCCAAGCTGGGGATGATTTAACCATCTCGGAGTCCATGGTTTACACTGATTGTCCTGGTCATGAAAATAGTGGTTCAGTGATGATTACCAGAGGCTCAATAAATTCTCTGATTTTGACAACTATCCCATACCCAGAGTGAGCTCCTGTTTTGCCTGGGAAGGGCCCAGTAAATCACCACACTCGACCATATCAAATGTTATTGGCAAGTCCCCCTCTCTGAAACTATAAAACCCAATACTGCTTTCTCGACCCCCAATGTACACTGGCAAAACCGGACCCTTCCTTTCGGCCTCCATCAGGCTCCAGCCACCTTCCAGAAACTCATGGACATGCTAATGCTAATACTTGA